TGTGCTCCACAGCGGCCCCACATCACTCAGGGTTTTTTTTCTGACTGTAATTACACTCAGCGTCAGCGGAAGAAAACAACAGACGTGAGTTAAAAATATATGTTTGTGAGAGAGAGAGGAATAAATCAACGCAATCAAACTAATTAGCTCATAATTCAGGGGGGAGGAAAACGCCGTCTCACCTTCAGACGGCAGCGCAGAAGCAGACTTTCACAAAAAGTTTATAGTTGGTCGAGAATCACGTTCACGTCTGAACCTCTGGAAGGATCCGTGTCCAGAAACTTCTGATCCAGAAAAAGATCTGCTGGAATGACGTCACAGGAAAAAAAAAGTTTAATTTGATGACAGTTTTAAAACTCTTTCTGTATGTGACGTAAAATAAATAAGTTTATACATTTATAATAAATGAATCGCTCTGAATATGAGGAGTCACTTCCTGTCAGGAGTCACTTCCTGTCAGGCCTTCGTTCACGTGTCTGACCGTCTGTGAACACGTGACGATGTGATGTTTTTATTGGTCGTCTTCTAAGTTTGTTTCTCTGTTCGGTCCCTCTCTGTTGTTCTTTCACTTGGCGTCACTAATTCTGGTCCCTCTCTGTTGTTCTTTCACTTGGAACTGTTGGACGAGGAGCTGCAGGAGCTGATGTAACGAGTGGATGATGAAGAGGAGTTCAAATAGTGGAGGACTGATGGATGCTGGGAGTGGAGACGGACTGGTAAACAGGGTGTGGGGACGGAGGGGGAGGCAGGGGGGAGAGAGAAGGAGTAGGAGACAGAAAAGAAGGGAGAGAGAGAGAGAGAGAGGAAAATATTAGAGTATCATATAAACAAAATAAAACCAAATAAATATTAAAGAATTTTAGAGTCACTGAACTGTAGGGGGTGCTACAGGTCACAGGGTCTGTTTGACCTGTGGGTGGAGGTCAGAGTGGGAGGAGGTGGTCCAGAGGATACTGTGGTCGGAGCAGCCAATCAGACGGGATTTGAACCTGCGACCCTCTGACAACGACACAGACCCAAAATCACCGACTGCTGATGTCAGCTCCAAGTGTTTGTCATGACCGGGAATCACACCCAGGTTGGAAGGCAGCTGTGGTCACCACTGCTCCACTGCGTCTGCCTGACGGGGGCGCCACATCCAGCTCCGTCCGTGATGTTTCTGCAGAGCTGACGTCAGGGAGGAAAGGGTTAAACCACCTCACAGGCTTCACTTTAATCTTCATAACTGCAGCTAAACAGGACTAATGACTCCCCCTCCTCCTCCTCCTCCCCCTTGTCCTTCCCCACATCCACACCCTTATCCTTAACCCTCACCTCCTCCCTTCCTCACCTCCTCCCTCATTCCCTAAAACTCCTCCAACTCTTTCTGTCTTTCATTCCTACTCCTCCTTCTGGTACTTTATTTCGTGTGTGTGTGGGGGGTGGGGGAGGCGCGGGGGGGAGGGTGGGGAGGAGGAGGAGGGCTCCAGTTTAATGACAGTGACTGTGG